TGCTGAACCTCAACGGAGATCGATGTCTAGGCCAAAAACAAGTGTCCCACGTGCAAATTCAACTGTCCTCAAAACCTGTGCTGGAAAGCCAGTGCTGGCAACAGAGAGGAGCTGCCAACTCTCATTGCAGGCAGCATTCACACTGGGTCCCTTTCATGGAAATTGCAGGTGTATGTGAAGGAATAAAATTAAATAGCACATCCTAGCAACAGACTTCCTAACCTGAGGCTTCTCAGCTTTGGCTCTCAAGTTTCCTTCTCAAACGCCCCTGGGTCCATGCGTGCCCAGGGAAAGCTTGCTGCAGCACGGTTACGTTCTGCGCGCCTCTTCTCATGAAGTGAAATGTCAACAAGAAAGAACTGAAGGTCCCAGTTATAATTATTTTCATCCTTGAGCAGTCTCTAATTCTAGCACAGATTTTAGCATAGGCAAATGACTGTCTTACAATGTTGCAAGGAAAAACCATCCCTGTAGCAATTGGCATTTCACACACTAGAGGTAAAAGAAGGTTTTCCTTTGTAGCTCATCCTTCTGCAAGGAAAGCTTATTTGTATCCTCAGCTATTTTAAAGCTCGAAAGGCACAGGATAATCATGTTGTCTGAGCTCCTTCATAAGGACTAATGTGAATAAACTTCCTGCCACTTCGTCACACAGTTAAAAGCCTACAATTTACACAAGCAGTGCTGCAGTGGAAGGAGGCAGGTTTTAGACTGATTCCCAAGTTCTGGATGCTTGGGAATCACACCAAAACACGAGACCACCACCCACTTTGAAATGGCCTCCGGCTCCAAGGATTTAGGTGCTTCGATTACATACCTGCCCCTATTCAACAGGGCAGAAGCACATTGCCTTCCTGCGTCCCTTTGCCCATGGCAGTCACTTACCTCTTATTTTCAAGTGTGCTATTAGAGCTAATTATGAACAATCAGGGTTTAACGAATGCATTTTTTTCAGCGACATTAGTGAATCACCATGACGGTAACTCTGGAACAAAAAGCCCTGGCATTTGAGCACTGCAGCCCAGAAGCATGGGGTTATTCCCAAAACTGGAGCCGCTTGGAGCGTGTGGAAGGGGTGGGAGCAGGAAGCTTCCCTGCCTGCTCAGCACAGAGGAGCAGTAACTCTTGCCTCTCGTACAGCTCCTTGCTCCGGAGATGCTTTTACGAGGATAAGCACAATTCAGGCTGAGCTAAAGGAGGGCAGTGATGGGTGAGGGAGGCACATCCACAGGCACAGCCAACTTGTGCGGCTCGTCCCAGGCCACCCAGCAGACTGCCACCACTCACCTTCTGCTTAGGACAGCTAAATCCTTCAGCACACTCAGAGAGCCAAGACTGAAGAGCACTTATTAGGAGGGTAATGGAGGAAAGCATAAATCACCTTGGCTTTTTGACTAACTTTTTAGAAGGATACTAAAACAGGCTTTTTTTTTTCCCCTCCTTTTATAATTTTGGTCTATACGATTACTCTTCTTTACTATCCGCTCTTAACCCTGCTAATCCCTAACTTATCCTTTACTTCCTGCGCTGCCTGCATTTAGGAACTGCTGCGAAATTGAAAGAGACAGGGAAGCAGCTGAGCACCTGGGCGGAAGCCGCGGGGCCTCCTCGCACGCCGGCTTTGGCGGAGCGCGGCCTGGAGAGGGAGCCTCCTCGGAGAGCACAACTTCCCCAAACCCAGCACCCCTCAGCCCAGTCGCCAGAGGCTCCCTGACACTTTGCCCATCCTTCTTTATAGCCCTTACATCAACTGAGGGGGAATTTGGTAATGGATCATAGCAGATATTGCAGTGTCTGTGGGCTGTTAGAACGCCAGAATTTTTCCTTCTCCCTTTAGGCAGCTCTTTAAAAATTCCTTCTGCTGCTGCTTTGGATGTGAAATCTTTCAGGGTAAAGGTCAAGATTAAAAAAAAAAATAGAAAAATAAACATTAGGTCACTAAGTCTTGAAATGTTATTTTAATTTGTTTATGGCTGAGAATAAAAAAAAAGTGTCTGCCTTCTCTGGGAAGATGCTTATGTGCAAACAAGACCTTTATAAGAAAATTCTCCTTTATTACCTTGGTTAAAAAGAAATCAGAAGATTGATTTTCTTTTTATGGCTATTATTAACCTTTTGTTACTGGCCAAAAATAATCTGGTTAGAAAATGTGCAATACATCATAAAATAAAAAACAGAAAAAGAATTTAATATAAAATTAATGTTCAGGGGGGAAAAAAAGACCTGCTTGGGTCTGTCTGGTCAGAACTCCCAACGCGCTTGTCACTGGGCTGGTAAAGAGACTGATGGGACAAGCTGTTCTAAACAAGCGTAACCACCTCCACCCTGGGCAGAACAAAGCCAGCAAAAGCCACCGTGGTAAAGAGCCGTCAGTCGTAATTTGACAGAAATACTTTCAGCAATTATTTCGGGACACGATCGCGTTTACACAGATCAGCCCTCACCTAAAACGAGCCAGGAAACTAGGAGGGTAGGCTCACAGGCTGATCCCAAGCGAGTGGCGGAACGAAGCCTTTGTAAAACAGCCCAATTCACAGCCTGGCGTGTTAAGGTACCTGAAAATCCCCACCAGTTTTCCTAAGGCATAAGAGCTACAGCGGCTGAAAAGCTTCTTTAAGTACCTGGCACACAAGAAACACCTCTGGTCAACAGCACTCCAAGTCACATGGGAAGTGATGGCCAGGTGGTCAAAAAACCTGACTGCAAGGAGAAATCGCACTGGGAGCTGAAAAAGGCTCCTTATGCACATGCATTTCATGCAGTTGAATTCTATTTTTCACAGACTAACTCTCTTCAGATCCTCTTTTCCATGATAAAGGTGCTGAAAGAACTTGCTATGGCATCGTGCAACAATCCCACTCCACATGAAAGGTGGTTGGGAGGTAATACAAAACATGATTCAAATATAGCTTTTTATTCCTGTCTTACCTGGCTGTTAACATCAGCAGAGTGTTGCAACAGCACTGAAACGAGCTCCTTGTGTCCTCTGTCGCAAGCCCAGTGGAGCAGCGCCCGGCCCTGCAGACATTCAAAAGAAAATTAACCATGTTAGCCACAAGCAGCGCACACAGAATCTTCCTATTTGTCAAGGACATCCCCAAGCTCTGGGTACTAAGTGCTCCTGATGGAGACACAGCTTAACAGCCTGCTGCGGGCTGCGTGAGGTTGCCACGTGGCTTTTTTCCCCCCATCTTAAACCCAAATCCCCTGCTTTATGTCACTTTTTGAAAAGACTAAGGTAAGACAGGGCAAAAACCAATGTTAAAGCAAAAAGATGCTCTTTGGCTCCCTTTCAGGCTCTTCCCTCAAGTCATATCATCTACTAAAAGGAATGGCTGGAGCGGAGGGATAGAAGGATGAGCAGAGTATGACACGACACCACTGTCCCCTCCTTATGTTCCTCCATGCTGAGAACATCCAGCAATTCAAAACTCTTGAAAAATTTACTTCTTTCTTCTGTACAGTACCAGTTCATCTCCCGACCTGCACGATTCCTCTTTAGTGATTAAGAACAACATATTTATACAGCAGAGAACAGATTGGAACAGACAAAAATGACACCTGTGGATGCTGACACATCCACACCTAGAGCTGCTCTCCTGTGTCTCACCACGAGGGACAGTTCCCTGCTCAAAAAGCAGCAATCTCCTAAGGGTCTGAGCTCAGGTGCTTCAACGTCCGGGGTGTCCAAAGTCAGATCTCGCTGGCCTTGGGGAGGGTACAGAACCACAGAGCCTGGCGAGCCCAAATTAAGGTTCTGGGCTGGGTTCCTGGCCTACAGGAGCACTTGCACCTGCGAAAGGCACTGCTTGCCCTAGTGACAAGTCTGAGGAGGGTCAGGGGACAGTCTCATGTGCGTTAGCAGCCCTGCACTGAGGCCAGGGGGCTCATCTCTGAATCACACGTACGAAATGATCCAAAGCAGTAGCTGCCTTTTAACGTTCCCACGACACACAGACCGTTTTATACGCTGCCACAACGGAAGCAAACGCCCCGCAGAGTTTCAGAGAGAAGTTTTGCTCTTTCCTGCTCACACTTCCAAAATTCCTGTGGCTGCTGCTGTAGCCAGGTGCACACAGGAGGCCCTTGGGAATCCAGTCTCCCACCCGCCAGAGCAGCCTGCGTTTCCCCGTGCGTTACCCACAACAGTGAAGGCCTTCAGAGCTGAAATCGGTCACACGAGCCCGTGCCTGGTTATAAATCTCTTGACACAGCAGTGGGGAACGTGGCGAACAAGCCGATTTATCTGCTAATGGGAAGCGCGAGGCAGATTTCCCAACCGCGGTGCCAAAACTGCAGGGCTGTAGGAGGCACCTGCAAGCAGAGCCCCCGCGGCGGCGTTAGACCCTCTCCAGGAGGGCAGGGGGGCAGAACATCATTTTGCGTGAGGAAATGCTACCTCAGACACACGGCATGAAGCTTTTTAACACACTTTGTGACCCAGCGAGTTAATTAATTTTTGTAACACATAATTTTAATGTTACACTAATTAACCTTGAATTAGAATGAATTTTCTGACAATGACTTCCTATGGAAGCAGTGATGACAGCCATGGGGCATTTGGTGATTAACGTTCACTCAACACCACAACCAAAGTCTAAAAGGGGGGGGAAAAAAGAGTCTAATTTCAAACAACTGGTAAACTCTTAAACTCATCTTTAATATTCTTAATTCAATTGTACTACTAATTACTTACAATTTAGCATTTCAGTTGGGCTAGTAATATAAACTTCTTTCTGCAACAGACGTTTATTTCAGAAGAAAAAGGCAAGAGAAGAAATTTACGTGCAAAGAGCCTAAATGAGATAAGCACTTTGCACGTGTAACTGGAATGATCTATTGTATAGGAATATTACTGTAACCAAACAATAATTACAGTGCAATTACGGGGCAAAATAAAGCCATTTTTATTCCTTAAACACCAAAAACAGTGTTACAAATTAGTGGCTATAATATGTTAGTTTCCATATGTTGCCAGATGAACAAAACTTTATCAGTGTTGAATTTGGCTGAGACCAGCAAAGAAAAAGCAATAATTCAGGAGGAAGAAGGCTGCAATTTTTGTAAATTCAGCCTTACTAAAGCACTGCAGGACTGGTCCCTTCCTACAGACCGGACGGCTGGTTATGCTGCAAGTGTTGCCTTTTAAACAAGACAAGAAACTGAAGCCTGATCATCTGTAGTCATTAAAAATCTCCTTGTGCTTTTTGCCGGAGTATGGATTTCAAGTCTTGGGCCAATTCCACTTTGGGTAATTACACTCTGCTTACCTATATATTTTCTCTGCAATTCTAAATGGATACAATATTTTCCAATTAGTGCCTTAAATGGTTCTGCATCATAATTGTGCACTATTAAAAAGCTGACATGTTCCACTCAAGAAAGGGCTGCAATCTGGTAGCGTGTGTGTATTATCCCCCAAAGAGAGGGGGCAAAGGGCTCTGGAGCCCCTCTCTGCAGGCACACACCAGTTGACACGGAGGCAAAAACACCTGCAGAAGAAACGCGGTCACGTAACGAAGAGCATTGCTAAGAAACTTGTTTACAAAACAAGAAATTCTTCCGTCTTCCTTGCATAATATCCAGAAAAGGTTGGGGAGTTCCAGGTAACGGCCCTAGCCACCTACCAAATCTACTCATCTACCTTGTCTATGAAAACACCCAACCAAACCCACCTCCAGAGATGAACCAAATTGGCACCGCCAATTGTTACTGAAGTTACTTGAGAGGCTGCATTTCTCCTGCCACCAAAGTATTTAATAATAATAAAAAGCATAAAAATAGCTGCAGAGCACTAACCCTGCCTCTTCAATCTTCCGTGCTCTGCTTGGGTAACCACTGCCAGCTGGGCTGGCTTCTGCAGCAGCTCCTCAAGCCAAGAGCGGAGCAGTTTTGCTCAGCTCCAAGTCACAGGGTGTTCACAAACAAAGCACAGGACAGGGATTTGTCTCGGATAGAGCGAGCCTCAGCGGACAGACGTATGGGAATAATTTCCACATCCATTAGGCAATGCAGAAGAGAGAGGCACAAAGCCAACTGCACGGCTGCTCTACAGCGTTAAGTTCTACTTCCAGGTACAATGTTTGCAGCCGTAACTGCCGCAAACCAGAGAGCCCGACCAAGTGTGTTACCACTGGTAGGTAGGAAGAGACGGATACAACGGCCGCGTCCCCAGCAATTACAGCAAAGTTGGTGAAGGGGAGGGCAGTTGTAGCAATCATACACGTGAATTGGAGACTGGGTTCGGAAGTCACTTGCCTTCTGAGCTTGCAAATGCTTGGGGGACAAGTCTGCAGGTAGAGGAGCACGATGCTTCTTCAACCACTTTCCTGGCATCACTTCGGCATGTGCTGTCTCTGAACTGTCCCCCGATCGTTTCAGCTGTCGTTCATTACATTTTTGGCAAGGACATACATACTGTACATGGGTAATGTGCTTGTTTAGGACAATTTCTTCAGCAATTGGAAAAAAAAAACCCTCTATCTACAGCCCCCACGGTCCTGGCACACGTTACAGAAGCAACTCATCTCTGTTCTCAAAAAGGCAGCAATCTACACACCAGAATGTGCCTGAAGCCCTGCAGCCAGGCTTCATTTCTTATTTCATTAGTCCTGCTGACATACGGAAGAAACTATTTGGTTTTTTTTTTTCAGTCTGTGCTACTTCTAAGTGAACGCAAGCTATTGCATTGAACTCTGGGCAATTTAGATACAGTAAGTGAAAGCTCGTACATGATTACTGTCATTAGACTCTTTGTTTAATTCAAAATTGAAGTTTATTACATCTGAACTGTTAGCGGGTACGCTGGCTTGAGTGCTGTATGAGGGATTTCTTTTTCTTTTCAGTTTATTCTTCAAAAGTCACTAAACACATCTCCAAAACCTAGAGAATTCTCCCACCCTTTTCTGAAATCCTCTTGCTTCCAGTAAGGAGTTGCATCCCAGTTTTGAGTTTGTATTTTGGACATCTTTCCTTTCGCTAATTTACCTCTCAGATTTGCAAAACAGGGGGAAGACACAGTTAGATACAGAACTAAAAAATGCGGATACAATCTAAACATCTTACAACCTCAATCAAGGCATTAATGCACAAGGAGAAGATGTGTGAGGCTTCTTTAATACTCGAGCAGGAGACTGTTCAGAGCTTCAGCAGATTTTGTCCCTAATAAGTTAACTCTTTGCATTTATCCCCTGACACGGCAAATTTATTGGCGTTTAAATCAAAAGAGTGACAGTGTGAGTTATGTTCAGAGGGCCAGGAGATGCATCTTTTGGATATGGCAGGATGTATTTATACAGTAACACTAAAATAGTTAATAAAAATGACAAGATTATGCTTTCATACACTTCGTTCTACCAAAGGCTCGGACTGGGTTATATCTCCTCTAAAATGGGTTCTAAAACTTCAATCAGCCTGCATGATATTGGAAAATAAGCTACCCTCCAGATTTTGAAGAACACATTTGGATGCCAAGCAACACTATTAACAGTTTCAGCTCCTTGAGAGACCATGAAATAAAATTTTCTCTCAGACTTTTCTTTTTCACTAAAATCTATACATACATACATTTTATATGTGTGTCTATATATATGACACACATACACACACATACAAGCTAGGAAAGCCAGCACTTGCCCCCAGAAAGTTCTATTTCTCTGTTTTAGAGCATTTGCTGGGGTGAGACACAAAAACTGTCTGTAAAACCCCCAATGACAGGCCAATTTTGCACCAGCAAGAATCATCTCATGAACCTACTGCAGGTAGAAAGAGTTTTAGGAGGTTTTCTCTATGCTAAAGCAATTCCATGCCCTGCAATAGTTGCATGTTAGTAGCTGCTTTTCCTAAATCAGTTCCTCTCTTACATCGAAGATTCATAGCAATTCTCAAGGAGGATGTAAGCAGGCAGTTTTCACATGTGTGTCTTAGCATTCATGGTGCGAAAACACAACAATATTTCAACCATCTTGCAGAAACTGTTATGATTTTTAAGAGCACAATGTTTGTTTGAAAACATTGAAATCCTACCCACTTGTCATTTGAACAGAGGAAATTAGATACGCCTGAACCCTGCTAGCTGTGTAAGAGCATCTTTTCCATGGAAATAAAGCAATTTTAACATGTTGTCATACCCTTAATGAAGGACATAATCACGAAATTGAGCTTTATCAATGGAAGGGCTTCAGCCCTGTTCTGAATGACTGCCCTGGCCGTTTACTTCTGCAGCCCGCGGTCAGCAGAGGGACGGAGGGAGCCCAGCGACGCCGCAGTTGCACATGGCAGTTTCAGTTCATTGAATTTATGATGTGAAATTCCAACCCTGCTTGTGAACAACCTCCTTCTTCTCTGAAAATTAATTCACATGAATTCCTGATTAATAATAAAAAGTCCCTGCCATCAGCATTCAGAGCCCCAGCCGGGGCTGTCATGGCTCAGAGGGCAGAAATCTGCTTAGCGCTGCGAGAGAACCCAGCTGAATTTGCGGCGTCTCAGTCTATGAATGTGTAAGCACTTCATCTGTTCCCAAAAAACCACCATGTGCTGGGAAGACGTTGCCGTGGTCCGGAGCAGGGCTAGGTGGCAGTATGGAAGCGCCGAAACCACCACCGCAGAGCTGTGACCACTCCATTCCCTGAAGGACGGACGGGAGCTAAGGGACTGCCTCCTTAAAACATCTAACCTTAAACTAACAAACCAGTTTGCAATTTTAGATGCCTTTCTCTCACCTAAAGCCTTGGTCAATGTCTGTTTATCTCCCTACGGGGAATTGGTGCTCTGATTCTGATAAGGGGAAAGACTGAAGCCACCCTTTTCAGGAGGCTGGCACGGCCAGCCTCTCACTAGCCCTGACAGAGGGTAGAGAAGCCCTGGGACATAACTTGGGATGGCACAAATGAAACCCTGACTACTTTGCCCTTGAACAGAGGGACAAAAGCAGCTCCTCAGTCAGATGGCTGCTAACAAAGTCATTTCCCTCGTTTTCTACTTCTATTTGATGACATTTAAGGCACAGAATAGGGAAAG